CTCAGAGTACTGCCAAGCCCTCCCATGGGTAGGGAAGCTGATAGGAGTGCAGGTGGTCAGGGCTGCCCTTGCTACACCACGGCCACACCATGCTGTGCCTCAACATCCCCTTCTACCCACATGGCCGCCCCACCAACCTAGCACCTGACTGCCACAGAATTTGATGTATTTATCCTTCCTGCACCCCCAGGAGACAGGGGAACGCTGTTTCCTCAATTGCACAGATGGGGATCTACCTCCCAAAGAGTTTAAGTGACTTGCCGAAGGTCACATAGGAAGACCAATAGATTTCTATCCCTCAGACAGATACAGCCCGCAGCACTGCCGCACTCCCCTCTTCTCTCTCTGCCGAGTGGAGCTGTTCAGCCAAGTGTAGCTGGATTGTAATGAAGCACTTGGTGAAAATAGATTTTTTGTTCCGCCTGACCGTGGGCTGCTGGAGACAGGGGTCATTAGCTATGCATCACTTACAGGCTGCTGTTCCCTCATTAAAGGCCCTCTCCTCTATTTCAGCCACCCCTATTCCTGGTTTTCAAGAGCATGTCCACTTATTATGGCCCTGGCCAAAACCTCAGCTTAATAGGTTTGATAGAAATAGAGATTAAAGGGACAGCATGAGAAACAGGTGAACTGGTACCAGTCTTGTAAGAGAAAACTATGTCTGCAGTGATCCCATTATTGCCAGTTGTCATGACTTTATCACAAAGCTCAGGGTATGTGGTAATTTATTTCAAATCTCCCACTCCTGGAGTCTTGGGACTTCTATAGGAATCTCCCCTTTTTATTATTATTAAAAGAGAAAAAAAGGGAATTTGCTCATCCTTGTGGTTACAGAGTGGAAAATCTGACCCTCAAAGGCTCAAAAACCAAGAAAGCAAATGAGAAAAAAGATATATGGACTATGTTCTTATTTTTAAACCAATCCGACAATTAACTTGGGGGCATAGATATGGGCGGCTGCTCCTAATCCAACTACCTCCCCACCCAAATCACGAATCATTGAGACACATGCAACATTTTGTTCCTTTTTTAATTCTTTTTTTCCACTCCTCTCTCTTTAATCCTCACCTCCTTCACTTTTTCCCTTCCCACCCACAGTTCCAGCTCAGGTCCCGCTACTGTGAAGGGAGAGACGTCACAGTTCCTATGCTGGTTAATCTGCCTCCAAGCTACATGACACCTTCCCCTCTCCTAGGTTGACCACCAGTGGTGATGCGTAGGGAGCACTTGGGGGTGTACGTGTACCCCCTGAAAGCACTGGTGCACCCCCGGACAGGCCGTGCTCCCCACTTAAGCGACGGGTAGGGGGGAGGAGGGGCAAGCGGGAACACTAGTGCCCCTCCCCCAAGCAAGCACTGGCCACGGAGGGGGTACACCAGATGAAGTGTCACAACCACTTCTGAGAGCACCACAGCCACTTCCTGGTCAGCGTGATCGGCTGCAGGGGACCTCCCGCCGCAGTTGCTGAAGGGGCACGTGCCCCTCCTTACTAAGGTGGCATCAGTCGCCCATATTGACCACCTGTCCCTAACTGGGCAGGACAGTCCTGAAATGTGAGCATCAAGACCTGGACTCAGGCTGAATGACTCTGGGACAGCATTTGTCCCAGATTCCCAGTACTGTGC